GCTCGGTGCAAAGGTTCTGCTCTTCCTCTCTGTCCCTCGCTTTCCGCAGGGCTCTCTCCCCTCCCTGATCGTCCCTTTCTTCCTGTGTCCCCTATTCCAGCCCTGCTCGTTCCGAGTCTTTCTATGATCCAAAAGCTGTTCCTCATGGCCAGAGAGGCTGCCACGCGTGGAGCCTCCTCGATGTCCCACGGTGTCCCTGTCCCGGCAGGGCTCCGGCTGTGCCCCAGGGCCCTGGGAGCATCCTGCAGCACGGGCCGTGCTCCCGGCCGCAGTTTGCTGGAGAAGGGCCGGCTCAGGGGCAGCACCCCGGGTGACCGGCAGTGCCATGGGGGGTGCCAGCCCAGGGGGACCCCGCTCTGCTCCCTGCTCGGGGCTGGCTCCGTGCCCCCTTCTCAGGGCTCTGAAGCGGCTCAGGAGCTCAGGGTGACGCTGCTGTGTCTGCGCGGGGATGCGCCTGCACATCCTACCTGCGTCAGCAGCTGAATTCCCTGCTCTCACTCCCGCTCCGGCACAGCCTTAACCCTTTCCTGCCACCCTGAGCAGCTCCTCGGAGCCAGGGGGGCTGTGACCCTCCGGCTGTGGCAGCAGCGCCTGCCCTGTCCCCACCCCCTGCAGGAGCATCCCCAGCTGCGCCCCCCGCTCGCTGCCCCGGCTCTCCCGCATCCCTTTCCCTGCCCATGGGCATCCCGCCCCTGGCTGCTCCCGAGCCGCTCCAGAGCCTGGGATCTGCTGTCCCCGCAGTTCCCGATCCCTGGGGAGGGTCGGCAGCGCTTTCCCAGCGCTCCTGCTGCTGTCGGCACCGGCGCGGGGCAGTTCTATCACCTCGGCAGAGGGCCTGAAGGTGTTTGGGCTGTTTCCAGTCACGGCTGGAAGTTTTTCACTGCCCACCCTCAGCTGCAGCCTGTGGAAATTGTGTTCCTGAAACCAGGACCAGGCTGCTGGAGCCGATCTGGGCCAGGCAGGCCTTGAGCATCATGAGCAGCACCAAAGGGATCTCTGCCTTCATCCACAGCACAGGCTCTGCCCGGTGCGTGGGCTCGGGGTCAGGCAGGGCGTTGGGATCGCTGTGCCGGGTGTTTGCCGTGTCCCTGGGCTCTGTGGCAGCCCCGGCTCTCCCCTGCAGAAACCCCTGGAGAGCAGAGAGGACTTGGGCAGATCCCATCACTCAGCACCTCCCCGGCCGCCTCTGCCCCCGCCAAGGTTTGCCAAGCCCCAGACAGAAGAAGCTGAACTTGTTTGTGGTTTCTGAGACAAACCCAAGCCAAAAAAAATCAAAAATCCCAGGAAGAGTCCTTAGGCTGCTGCTTTGGCACATGGAGCAGGAGCTCTGGCAGGGCCTGGACTTGCTGGGTTTGGGGGGACCTGGTGCAGGGGGCACTGCAGGGCTGGGGGCTGCCGAGGAACCCTCCCGGGGGCAGCAAGCACCACTCGAAGCCTGGCTGGCAGGTGCCCTCGCTGGGATGCCTGAGCCGTGTCCGTGCTCTCTGCTGTGGTTTTGGGAAGGGCTGCAGTGGGGCAGAGCCACGTGCAGCAGCAGCAGGGCTCTCCCCAGCCGCGCTCGCTGCTCCGGGTGGGCAGCTCCAGCCTGGCGAGTCCCAGCTGGCACCGCTGGCACGGCTCCTGCCGGGGCTGCCCCAGCCTCTGCGTTTCTGCCAGGAGCCGTGGAAGCTCATCAGGAGCTGGGTTTGTGTTGAAATGAGGCAGAGAAGGTGTGTGCAGAGCCCGGAGCGCCGCGCCCGGGGCAGGACTGCTCTGTTCTCATGGCCCAAGAGGAGCGAGCCAGGGATTAACCAGCCAGCCCAGGAGGACGGGCTACGCTGGGTTTGAAATTCTTTGGTGCTTGCAATAACTCAGATGAATCTCTTTGTTCTTGTGAGCTGTAATTTTTCATTTGACAGGCAGCGTCCCTTGACAGAACAGCCAAACAGCCACATCCAAACACACCCAGGCCTGGGACGTGGCACCAAGCCCCTCCACCTCCCCAGTCCCAGGTGACAATTTCCCAGTGCAGCAAACTCCAGGGGCAGTTTGGCCAGACCTGTGTGGTCAGAGCTCAACACCAAGGACAAGCTGGCCCACTGACCCCCTCCTGCTCGCCCAGGTGTGGGACCCTCCCAGCCTCGGGACCTGTGTGCCACCTCTCCCCTCTCCCCCCGTGCCCAGCAGCTGCCCAGGTGTCCTGGGACCAGCCCAGTCTCCATCTCGAGGTGTGCGGGGTCCCTTCTCCTCAGGGTTCTGGGTGTGGATGGGGATCTGGCCAGGATTACAGAGCCCCGGCAGCGGGAGGCAGGAGGATGTGTCAGCTCAAGGCAGAGGCTAAAGAGGCTTACACTGACTATTTACCTTCTCCAGGGGCTATTTTCGGCTGCTCAGCTGCCGCTAATGCGACGCTCAGGGCAGCGACAGAGGAGACGCCAGTGAGGGTCACTGTTCCTAGGATCCACTTTCCTCCTCGAAGCTTGGCTGCTTTTTTGTTGAACATCTCGGGGATGGGTCAGAAGGCTTTGAAATGCACTGCCCTGTGCCATGCGTGGCTCGTTTCCATCACTGCTCTGCAGGGGAATCCCAAGGTTGCTCCCAGCGCTATCCCAGCGCTATCAGCTGGCTGTGGATGTCCAGTGGGAGTTCAATAATGGATCACAAGTCGATGGACAGGCTGAGACTGGAACTGGGTCACGGGGATGTGAGCGCTGCTGGGGACCAGCTCCATCCCTTCGTGTCCCTGCCTGTCCCAAAGTGGGGTCAGTGCGTGCCAGGGCCATGGGCAGCCCCAGTGGGGAGCACTGGCACAGCCACCTGAAGTCTCCTGCAGGCACAGGGAGGCTCAGGGCACACCGGGCACGGCAGAGTTGCCAAGGGTGGCAACTGGTCCCAGGGATGCACACCCAGAGCTGAGCCCTGCTTCCAACAGGACCCAGCTTCTTCCACATGCTGGAAAGCTGCAGTGCAGAGTCTTTAACTAAATGAATCCTGAGTGATTTCCACATTGCTGAATGACATTTTAATAGTGGAAAAATAACACTCCAAATTATCTACTTCATCTCTTCCTATTGTCTTTTACTGGCTGGGAAGGAGTGCTGCAGCAAAACCAGCTCTGGCTCTTCTGGGAGGGGTTTGCTGGTGCCTCCCAGGCCAGGGCAGGCCGTGGGGAGGTGAGGAGGGGCTGTTCCCCTGTGCCCAGCACCCCGGGAGCCCAGCAGGGGCTGCCCACACCTCGCAGCTCTCACGGCCATGCCCGTCCCACACGGGGCTGGCAGGTGGCAGAAGGCAGTGTCCTGCTGTCCCCCTGGGGAGCTGGCACCTGTCCCCCTGCCACCAAGTCGCTCTGCAGGAAGATGCTTCTGGAATTCTCTGCTGTGTGCTTTTTCCAGCCTGAATTCAGCCGCTGATGGAGCCACTGAGGGCTGCCACAGGTCCCCAGGACAGAGCCTGGGGACAGCCATGCAGCCCCAGCACCCAGCACGTCCCTGAGTGCCTGCAAAAGGGTGGCTCAAGCTGGAGGACGGTGTCTGCTGTCCCCAGCCTGCACAGCAATGGACACACAAAAGCCTCACACAAACTTTTATTATCACTGAAACGTCATAGATCTCCAGCAAGCCCCTGCCCCAGAGCAAAGCAGCCCCAGCCCTTACCCGAGGTGTCCCCTGCCAAAGCCCAGCTCACACCTGCAGCCTCGGGCCCTTCCAGAGCTGTGCCATTCTGAGCCCTTTCCCCACTGCTCTCACCCAGGGAAGTTCTCATCCTCTGGACTAAAGGCACACAAATGGGGAGCTGAACTGTCCTTCTGCCACTCAACAGCCAGCCCTTGGCATGTTGCCTTCCCTGGGTCAAGGCTTCTCCCATTCAGGAACGCCGCGTGCTCGTGGCTGCTGCTGCTGCTTCACACGGAGCATCCGAGCTCCAGCCTCACTTCCCAGCAGGAACGGGGCTCCAGCACGGGCTGTGGGCAAGGCTTTGCAGAAGGATCTTGAGAGAAATGTGTTTGTCAGGTGCAGGAAGCCACCCAGCTCTGCCCAGGACAGCGGTGGGGGAAGCAGCGAGGAGGGAGTGAGAGGGAGCAGGACAGCCAGGAAAGGCTGAGCAGGGATGCAGGGAGGCACAGCCCACTGCCACCTGGGCTCCTTTTCCAGCCCCACAAGGGAACTGTTTCCCTGGCTGTGGCTGGCACAAATGCTGGCTCAGGACACGCCTTTGGAGGCCACGGAATTTGGTAAGAACCTTTGGCAAGAGAGCTCAAGGCCCCAGCTCCACTTGTGGCTGGCAGAATTTGTAGCAGACAGGGGGAGAAACACTGTCCTTTCAAAAACACCCTGAGGGAAACCTTTATCAGGCAGAGCTCAGCAAAAACGGCTGCAACAAGGCAAGTTTCATTTTTACTTTGGGATGTGGAACAGGGAGCACCTCTGGCACTGAGGAGCCTGAAACCCACATGGAGTGTATGTGCCACAGGCTGTGGCAGTGACAGGCAAGGACAGTAAATATTCAGTATCTGAGGAGAGCCAAAGGAAACACAATGGGAAACATACTGGAAACAACAGACTGAAGTATTCAAGTCTGCAGTTGTCAGCATAAAGAAACAGCTTTGCTGTAATGTCAGAAAATCACAGAATGGGTTGAAAGGGACCTTAAAGCTCATCCCATTCCACCCCCTGCCATGGGCAGGGACACCTTCCACTATCCCAGGCTGCTCCAAGCCCCATCCAACCTGCCCTTGGACACTTCCAGGGACCCAGGGGCAGCCACAGCTGCTCTGGCCACCCTGTGCCAGACCCTCCCAGGGAAGAATTCCTTCCCAATATCTCATGAAGAAGGAAACTTTGGGCAGTGTCTGTGAAATACCCCGACTCAGAGCAGCAGTGCTCTGAGACCTGGGGCAGTCAATTTTCTATAAAAATGGGAAAAAGGCATGCCAGTCAGTGTATCCTATAAAACCAGAAAAGGCCAGAGACTTCGAGGTCACCAGTCCTTCCTTGCTGACAAAGCAGACACCTTCCCTGCAATCCCAACAGTCTGCAGTTTTATTTTTGGCAGATTATAATTAAAATGGCTTTTATGGCTTTGAAAAGGAGCCACGAAGCTGCACGTTTTGGTTGAAGCAGAGAGCGTGTGGTGTGCTCTGGGTGAGGGGACGGTGGCCTTGGCTCTGCTCCTGCCACCTGCCACCAGCACCTCGGGGTGGCCTTGGCTCCCCTGAGGGCTCTCGTTTCTCACCAGCAAGTAACAAAGTTCTGCTTGCTAACCAGTCCAGTCCCAGAGGCAGAATAAAAAGTTAAAACCTAGAAAAGCTTGTTTCTAACAAAATCAAATCCAAGCACAGTTCCTGGGTCGATGCCTTTCTCTCAGGTTCCATCACCCATGCAATGGAACTTCCCCTATAGAGCAATTTAACTCCTCTTCCATTCCACACCTTTCAGTCTTCTCAGGAGTCCTGACAAGCTATTCCTCCATTCTTTTCTTCAGCAGTTTTTCCTATGCACATCCTTCCTGCCCTTCCCTTCCGCCGGCGCACCCTGTTCCTCCCAGCTATTTTCGGAAGGCAAAGACATCCCGTGTTCTCAGGCCTTTCTTGCCTTCACTTCCTGGTTTAGGAGAAGACACTTCCACCAGCCCCCCGTACGGGCAGCTCTCGGACTCCAGGTGGTGGCCAGAGCACTCCACAGCGGGGATGAAGCCACTGTCCCACATGCCTGTCCCACACAGCTTGCAGAGGTCGTGCAGGCTGCAGGGGATGCGGGGCAGCAGGTGGAACTGATAGAGCAGACTCCTGGCCTAGAGGGACAGAGAGGGAAAAGTCACCCCTCACCAGGGCACCTCCCACCCAATCCTCCTGTTTGGCTGCCTGGGCCTCAGCAAAGGCGTGTCCTGCCAAACACCTGAGGGTTACCTGAGGCACTGGGGACAGGTCACAGGGGCTGCCACACTCCACAGCTCATCCCATGGCCCCAGTCACTGCACCATGGCACCAACAGCTCTGCCTCCACTTCCCTGAGCAGGTTATCCAAACAAGGGCTATCCCAACCATACTGTCACCTCCCAAGCACTCAACAACTTCCTCCTCCTGCTGCAAATCTTCAGGCAAACAGCAGCATCCCTCCCAGGCAGCCACAGGGACACAGGAGATGCAATGCTGAAGCAGCAGTCCCTGGTTTTCTGAATACTCTGACTGATCTCTTGTCCCACATGGGCACCTGGGCATTTACCTTCCTGAGTACGAGCTCCCCGTTCATGTGCATGGCCAGGTTGCCGAAATGCAGCAGCATCTGGTCAGTGGCCAGCTGCTGCTCGATGACGTCGTCCCCATAAATCACCACGATGGCCACGCAGATGAAGAGGTGGAAATAGTCTGTCTGCAATGGGAACACAGGGGCTGCTGTACAGCAGGTGGAGGCAGAGCTCTGGCTTCACCTCCCACCCTCCACAAGCTGAGAGATTTTGCTCCCTTCAGTTCTGCCCAGTGGTGAGAACGTGAGTTACCGGTGACTTCTGAACCACAGCCGAGCCAAAGCCTCTTTCATTCACAGCACAGCAGCAAGCTCTGCACCAGTGTTTGCACCACAGAGCAGATTTTTGGGAAGACATTTCCCAGCTGTGTAAGAGAAGCCTGAACTTCAGAAGTGAGTGCTCAGCATTTTCTGAAACACCTCCTTGTGAAGCCCAGACATCCCCAAGGAGCAGAGGCAAGCAGGGCTCCATCCTCCTGCTACCTGGATAAACCTCTGCCATAGCCACAGACCCGACTTATTTTGGCTACTTTGCTGCTGAGAGCCTTTCTGGAAATCCTCAGTGCTGAGGGGTGAGGACTCAGGCAGGATGTGCCGTGGCTGTGGCAGCTGCCTCACCTGGTAGTGAGCCCAGCACGCCTCCCACATGCGCAGCGCCTCGGCCTCGGGGAACTCGCGCTTGAAGCAGAGCAGGATCCAGCGGTGGCAGAAGAGCATCTGCAGCCCGTCCTCTCCCAGGGCACTCAGGTGCTGGTGGAAGCGGGGGTGCATCAGCCGCAGCAGCTCCCGCAGGTACAGCTGGAAAAGAGGCCCTGGGCTGAGGCCCTGCCTCGGGCAGCCCTCAGCACCCCGTGGAGCAGAGCTGGAGAGCTGCAGAGCTCTTCTCTCTCTGCCATTTCACAGGGATGGGTATAACTGCCTCTGGAGTGCCTCAATCACCCAGGATCAATTCTACCCACCAGGTGTTTCCATGGAATCAAAGAGCCCTAGAATATCCTGAGTTGGAACTGACCCACAAGGAGCATCAAAGTCCAGCTCCCGGCCCCACACATGACATCCCCAAGGATCACCCCGAGGCTTTGGAGTGTGGTTTGGCATGCTGGACCCCCCCAGCCCAGGAACTGGGGAGAGGAGAAGCCACAACAGGGCTGGAGGGAGCCCAGCACTCAGCCTCACCAGCTGCTTCTCCATGTCCTCATCCCGGGGGGAGCTGATGAAGATCGTGTTCTGCATCAATCCAACAAAGCACCAGAAAGTATCTGACTCATCCAGGACCTCTGCCAGGAGTGGGGCAACCAGGTCGGACATGCCCTGGGAGTATCCAATGGTTGGGTTAAATACTGCATAGTTCAGCAAGATCCTCCTGGGGCAGAGACAGAAATGGAGAGGGGACGGGTGAGGGCAGGTGACAGCATCATCTCAGGGACAAAGACACAGGGCCTCACGTGAGGTGCCATAACACAGACAGGGAAACCCTGCTGCAAACACCAGACCTGTGGCACAAACTTCAGGAAAAGGTTTGGCATTCACAGACAGCAAAACATAAACAGAAAATGAGAATTTAAAAAGATTAAGAGGACAGAAATGAAGGGCACATGGGAGAGATGATGCCCAAGACATGCACAAAGCTCCAAGCCATGCTGTTGGATGAAACCCAGCTCTGGAAATCACACCTTTACAAGTCTCATGGAACAGACTCTATTCTTGTCCTTTACCCCATCAGGAGAACCACAGACCCAAGCACATGTCCCCAGCCCTACCACAGCACCTTTGCTGCAGGGAAGCTCAGGGATGGCAGCAGGGAAGCTCAGGGATGGCAGCAGGGAAGCTCAGGGATGGCAGCAGGGTTACAGGATTGAGAAGGGAGCTGCAGCAGCAGTGGGAGCACTGGGGAAGGCCCTGCTGTTGCATCCCGTGGTTCCAGATGCACGGTGGGTGCTGTGCAGCATTCCCAGGCAGCCTGGGCTGGGGGCTGACCCATTTGTCTCTACACTGAGCAGGATGTGGCTTTTAGGACACTGGAATCAGACACTTCACCTCATGGTCTCCACATTTGGGTTGTCCTCCCCTCGGAAGAACTGGTTGCTGCGGTCGGTCCTCACGACATCCTTGTCCACCGTGAACTGCACCTGGCGCCAGAAATCCTTCTGCTCATCTGGAGCCATGGACAGCCTGGAAACCACACAGCAACAGCACAGGCTTGCCAAGAGAGGAATGCGAGTGCCACAATGAACAAAAAGCCTCATTTCAGTTTTAGTTTGCAGAGAAAACTATTCTTGTCCCGAGTTTCCTCAGCACCTGAAAAACAGACCGGCAGGTCTGTGCAGTACAGAGGATTGTCTGTCCCAGGGGATTACTGCAAGGAGCCTCCTGGGTTATAAATGGGATGACACGATGTGTTTCCTGCAACAATCACTTCAGAAGCATCAGACTGTGTTCTCCACTGCTCCTTGGAACTCAGCACACCAGAACTCACCACTGGTTTCATTGACTCCTGGTTATTAACAGTGCTGTGCCCCTCCAGCTTCAATGTACTCACCTCCATTTAACAAACAATTCTTGCACAAAAAACCTTCTGCAATTACATAACCCTTTCCATCCCTTATTTTCATGTACATTTTATTTATAAAGAAATATAAATTCCCAATTTCACCTTCACTGTTCTAACCCAAGTCTTGCCTGTGAGGTTTCCCTGCGTGGCACTGACGAGGCTGTTCCCAGAGCCCAGGTAAGGAAATGTCTGAGCTCTGTGGCACTGGCAGTGCCCAACACACCTCCTTCCCCATCCCTCCCATTCCTCTGCTCCAGCCTTTCCTGATGCAAAGGCTGCAGAGACTGTGATGTCCAGCCCAAGGAAAATGAGCAGGGGAGGATGATGATGCTCTGTTACCTCTTCTCCTGGATCTCAAAGTACTCTTTCCTCTTCTGCAGCCTCAGTGCCTCCCTCTCTTCAGAGGTGGACTCGTAGCTGTAGTAGTGCAGCAGAAAGGGCCACACCTCCCCACGGATGGAAATATCAATCCCACCAAAGAAAATGGCCTGGAAAAAGGAGCAAAAGTTATGGCTGGTGTAGTTTTAGCATTCCCAAAAACAGCAACAAGCAACTGCCCGCTGCTGTGCTTTGGTGCCTCTGCAGCTCTTTCCTGACAAGTGACGCCTTGATTCAAGCTCCTGCAATTTGCACATGTTTAGAGGGAAAGTGCTGGCCCTCTATTCCCAGACCAGACACAAATCAGGCTCATTTCAATGTCAATAACCACCCCCGGAGAGGCTCTATGATTAACGTGTCGTTCTCATGTCACGGCTTAATCCCAAATCCTGGAGACTGCACTGCACTGCAAACTTCTCTCTCAGGGCCCAGTGCTCCCCTCAGCCCTGGTATTTCACACAGCAATCTCAGCTCATACAATCTCTGCTGTTCCAACCATCTCAGTCCTTTCAGCAATCTCCAGTGTTCTCTGTGACTCGGTCACACATTCTGCACACACAGCAGGCACTGGGCACTTTGGTTTATGGATTCCAGACTGCAGCAGAAGTGGGACAGCTCCTCGCTCAGAGGAATGCTCCACCACCACCGAATCACAGAACTGGTGGGGTTGGAAGGGACCTCTGGAGATATCCAGTCCAACCTCCCTCGCTCAGGCAGGGTCACCTGGAGCAGGTGATCCAGGAACACGTCCAGGTGGGGATCCAGCCCCACAGCGAGATCTGCAGCCGAGGCTTCACTCACCGGCGTCCATCCTCCAGCCCTTGTCCCTGACAGGAACTCAAACTCCTGCAGTTCCCCCTGGGACTGGCCCTCAGCACGGGAGAGAACAGAGGGGAGCCCCTCACCTTCCTCAGCTTGTACTCCTCCTCCACCTGGCCGGCCTCGTTGAGGTGGTGCAGCCAGGTGGACACGTCCAGGCGCCGGTACGAGTTCTCCTCGGGGTGGGTCTCCGAGGAGGGCAGCTTGGGGCGGCGGATGGAGAACTGCATGCAGGTTTTCTCATCTGCAAGCTGCTGAACGGGGCAGAACAAACCACAACTGCAGCAGGAGCCAGGGAAAGCAGCACAGCGTGAAACCCAGAGCAGGGAAACCTCTGCGTGGTTCATGTAGGATTAAGCACTGAGGAGTTGCACTTGGGGAGGTTTTGTTTGGTTTTTTTTTTTAAATTCCAACCATTACAATAACAAGAGTGATTAGAATAATTAAAATCCACCACCAAACAGATTCATCTTTAAAAAAAAATTCGTTTCTATTCCTCCTCCAATCTTATCCCTGACCTGGAACTGAATTAATGCTGCTTACAGCAAAACTTGCCCCTGCCAGGAATGCCTGCAATAAATTACATATGATTGGCCATATACAAAGGGATTGCTGTTAGGAGAGAGGGGAACTGCACTGCCAGGCTCTCTGAGGGCACTCAGGATCCCAGTGCAAGGCTGCAGCTGACATTTAATTTAAAAATCAAAGGTTGTTCAATGCAAAAAGTGAGCCCATGCGACCGTAATAAGAAAAGCAGCGGGGGGCTCTGTGGGAAGGATGGAAATTTAAAAATCACTGTTTCTAATAAGCACATACAATATCTTAAACAGATAATTAAAGAGCTCTTATCACATTTGTATGTAGATTGAACAAAATATGGCAAGATGCCTTGTCAAAACATCCTCCAAACGGAATGTTATGCGTCACAAGATGGATGAAAGGCTCTGACACAATTTCCTATCTCTGCAGATTTCCAGACACCTTCTGTGCCTGAAGGACAGTGCCCAGCTGTCAGGTCTAGCAAAACCACTACCTAAGTAAGTCTTCTGGATGATCTTCCCCCATATTCCACAGGTAGAACAGGAATGGATGGAGACAGACAAGTCCAAGAGAGACCTTGAGTCCAGCTTGCATTTCCATCCTGCATGTGGCAGCTTCCTGCCTGACCTGGTGACATGAACTCAGAGCCTCCTTTCTCCAACACACCACCCCAGTGTGAAACACCTGGCCCCAAGAGCCTGGCTCAGGTACCTGGTCCTTGAGGTGGGTCTCTGTGCAGTACTTCCATTGCTGAAACACCTCGGACAGTTTATCCAGGCCACCGTGGTGGAAATGGAAGATCTTGTACTGGCTCTCCCTGCTGGCCACCACCAGCTGCCCACAGGTACACGCCTCATCACTGTGGGAACAACGGAGAACGAGCTGTGGAGGCCACCCAGCACAACGAGGGACCAGCAGGGACACAGAGCCTTGGGACAGACAGTGCAAGGCAAGTCACAAAGTGCAACACCAAGCTGCCCCTTAAAACAGGGCACAGAGGCAGCTTAACACCTCTGGGACTCACTGATCCTCATGGGTCACTTCTAGTTGAGACATTTTATGGTTGTGTGACATGGTCATAGTGACAATTTTCTCCACTTGTGCCTGGTAACAGCACTATTTTTACCCTTCCTTCACACGAAGGAATTAAAATTTGTCTTCCCTGGAGAAAAAAAAAAAACCACAGGAAGTCTGCCCCAGAAACATGAAGGCAGTACACAAAGTCAGCTCCTAGGGATGTGCAGACTTGCTTACTCACAGCTTTGTCCAAAGAAACAGGGAGGGAAAGCAAAAAAGAGAGAGTAAAAATGTTTTTGCAATAATTTGAAAAAAAATTTGTAATAATTTGAAAGATAACTGTAAGAGGCTGAGAGCAGCAAGACTCTAGAGGAGCCTGGAGAGGGGCAGGCAAAGGAAAAGGTACCAGAGATAAAGATGTTTTTCATATCCCCAGGTTATTTGAAGCATTTATGGTATGACAGCTAAGAGCAACCTTTACTAAAAATAAAATCCTTTCGGTTCTGTAACTGTAATTCAGAGGCTCTCCTTGGGAAGGCTGACACTCACTTTCCTGGAGACAATTGTTCTGGAAAGGCTTCCAGGTAGGATTGCAGAAATCATCTCCACCCAGAGCCCTGACATGGAGCATGCACAGCTCACACAGAACTCACACACAATTTACATACAATTCACAGCTCACACACAGCTCACACACAGCTCACACACAGCTCACACAGAGCTCACACACAATTTACATACAATTCACAGCTCACACACAGCTCACTCACAGCTCACACACAATTTACATACAATTCACAGCTCACACACAATTCACAGCTCACACAGAGCTCACTCACAGCTCACACACACTTCATAGCTCACTCACAGCTCACACACAGCTCACACACAGCTCACACACAATTCACAGCTCACACACAGCTCACACACAGCTCACACACACTTTATAGCTCACTCACAGCTCACACACAAGGATCCAGTACCTGAAGAAAAGGCGAAGGGATCTCATTTGTCCCAAGTCTACTCTGAAGACACCACACACCTGCTCGAGGGCAAATACCTTCTGCTGTTCATCCCATCTGGTGCTCTGCGTTTGCCCATTGTTCTCCTGGAACTGGGCACTGGTGTCGAGGCTGGAGGCAGAGCTGGTGGAGCAGGTCATGCGATTGTCACACGTGTCCCTGTGGACAGAGCGTGGGGGCAAAAACCCCATCAGCCACGGGAGGCTGTGGGTGCACACAACAACCACAGATGCTCCATGTTAAAAACCTTTAGTCAGAGTTCTGAAATGGGCATTCATTCACCAACTAGGTTATTTTTATTGAAATTAATTCTCTACCATCCCCAAAAGCATCCTGGTTTTGGCCTTTTCCTAACGTTCTTGCATGCAGAAATGGGGAGAGCCAAACTCATTCCTCAAAACACCAATCTTCTGAGGAGGCAAAATGAAGAAGCTCAAGCAATGCCCTCAGTGTCCAGATCCAGGTCCACACCAGGACAGGGACAGGAGGAATGAGCACATTCCAACAGCACCATGGACCTGGGATCTCATCTGGGAAATTCCCTCTTTGACCAACAAGATCCAAAGATGTTTCTCCTGAACTTAAGTTTCTCATTATACCTCTGCATGTGGACCTACCAAGCCTGGATTCATGTCTATAAACTCCAGACAAATAGTTTCCATCTGCAATCTTGAAACTTGGGAGAGTTAAGGATTGGGAAACCACACCTGAGCTCTTCAACCCACTGCAAATCAGAGAAACTGAGCCCAACCCTTTCCCAATCCACCCCAAATCTCCAGCTTTAAATGCAAACTGAGTTCAGACTCAAAAAGCCCCCATGTCCCCACCAGCCCCCATCCCAAAAGAAAAAATATCAGTGCTTTGGGAATTAAGTGAATGTGAAACTGTGACCCCTTGGCTCGTAAAAAGGCCAATGCACGTGAACAATCTCGGTGCGGGCTCTGAATGGGCTCTGCTGTGAAATCGGGGTTTGCCAGACAAGGCCCGGAGCAGGTACAAAGCAGCCCCCTGCAAGGCCACTTTATGTGGTGTTTTCTAATCCTCTTATCCAACAATGTGGGCACTGAACGCTGGAAATCACACACTCAGCATGCACTTCACATCCGTGTGCCTCCCGCGCCCGCTCCAGGGCCTCTTCCAGAGGGAGCAGCCTCATGGGCAGCGCGTTCCGAGGGACAGAGCTTGAGCAGCCTCATGGGCAGTGCTTGAGCAGCCTCATGGGCAGTGCTTGAGCAGCCTCATGGGCAGTGCTTGAGCAGCCTCATGGGCAGTGCATTCCCAGCCTCATGGGCAGCGCTTGAGCAGCCTCATGGGCAGCACATTCCCAGCCTCATGGGCAGTGCATTCCCAGCCTCATGGGCAGCGCTTGAGCAGCCTCATGGGCAGTGCTTGAGCAGCCTCATGGGCAGCACATTCCCAGCCTCATGGGCAGTGCTTGAGCAGCCTCATGGGCAGTGCTTGAGCAGCCTCATGGGCAGTGCATTCCCAGCCTCATGGGCAGTGCTTGAGCAGCCTCATGGGCAGCGCTTGAGCAGCCTCATGGGCAGCGCATTCCCAGCCTCATGGGCAGTGCATTCCCAGCCTCATGGGCAGCGCATTCCCAGCCTCATGGGCAGTGCATTCCCAGTCTCATGGGCAGTGCTTGAGCAGCCTCATGGGCAGTGCATTCCCAGCCTCATGGGCAGCACATTCCCAGTCTCATGGGCAGCGCATTCCCAGCCTCATGGGCAGTGCTTGAGCAGCCTCATGGGCAGCACATTCCGAGGGACAGCGCTTGGGACACACCGGTGACATGGGCACATTTCCAACCAAGCCCAGTTCCAGTACACGACTCACACCCCCAGCCCCTTGCTGCTCCTGTGGCTCTGCCTGGGTGAGACCAGGGCTGGTTGACTCCAGATAAAGGAGCAGCTTCGTGGCTCTCTGGGAAGTTCTGCTGCTCCAGTTTTTGAAGAGAAAGCAGCAAAGCAGAACTCACATTCAGGCATTTGGAGCATGAGGACTCAGAAGGGATCCCAGAAGGGATCACACCAGTAGGGATCACACCACACATCCAAACTCACTCCAGGTTAGACACCAGGATACCTCTGACCACAGGCACAGCTGTACACCATCCCCTGCCTCCGGAATTTTTCCATGAAGACTTGCCATTTTCTGATAAAGTTGCAAAATGTAACACTTCCTAAAAGTATCTAACATTAACACAAATGCACCAAGAGTCCTGGTACAAGACACTTGGGCTGGAGTGCCTGCTAGGAGCAGCTGGTATTTATGGAGCAACACTTCGTAACAGCCACAGCTGGTTACACAGGATTTTCCTGGAAGAGATGACTCAAACTAACTCAAAGACTAAGCAGAGGCAACCCATTTCCTAAACCTCTTAAAAAGACAAGCTGGTCAGTACGGCAAAGGGCTGGAGGATGGATTGGTGTGAGGACCATGCAGGTCCTGGTCACAGAGGTCCACATGCCAGTTCCTCAAGAACATCACCTGCAACGACCAGCAGAAATGTCCAGAGAACTGCCAAGAAATGAGTTCCCAGTAGAGCTGGGCAGGGTGGCTTTGATGCTGGGCACTCTGTAGCTCCTCAGCACAGCAGCAGCCAGCTGGGAGCTGCGGGCAGCAGAGCCCGGGCACAGTCCTGGCACGGGGGGAACCTCCGGAAATGCTTCTCCAAGACAAATGTTTACAGTTCCCACCCAGCCACCGGTGACAAGCTCGCACACGCATCCCACAGGCACAGAAGCATCTTGTGTCAGTGGCTTCACCCCTTCCAGGCAGCAGGAAGCACCAAGGGTAAGCAGAGTGCCTCGGCCCGTGCAGCCCCGGGGAAATTCCCATGTTCTCATCGATGCAGAGGGTGAAATCCGAAAGAGACACCTGTGCCCTCCCTGCCCTTCACAGGGGTCAATGGACACAAACATTCACACTCAGGACACATCAGAGACGGAACCATCTCGTGCTGGTGCTCACTGAGTCACCGGGGAAATTTGGAAAAAACCCACACTGTGTCTAAAATGACATTTTCCTGTACATATTGATTGAAAATAAAATTGAAAATACTCTAATCTCTAGATTACTTTTAAATAAAACTTAAATATTGAGATCATTCTATAGGTCAGCAACAATGAGCAGCATGATCTCTGCTAATTTTGTGGGGTTTGGGGAGTCTTCTAACCAGGCACTCAAGACAGACAAATGCAGGGAAAGTTTATTGTTTGTCAGACTATTCTATCTGTTGGATGAGGAATTTATCCCAGAGCACCCCGTAAAAGCAGGAGTTGAAGCATTGCAACACAAATAGCCAGAGGAACATTCCAGAGAGACTTTGGGTTGTGGGATCCAGGAAAAACAGAGCACCAGCTAGTACACAGCACTGGTCAGCAAAACAACAAGTGAAGTGGGCCACAGGAATAAAAGGGACAGGGAAAAAAACCCAAGGATTAGAAAACCTGGGTCAGGAAACTCCAGGCCGTGTTCATGTGTTCAGTTCCAGAAAGTCATGGAGCGTGTCCAGGGAAGGGAACAGAGCTGAGGCAGGGGCTGGAGCACCAGGAGCGGCTGAGGGAGCTGGGAAAGGGCTCAGCCTGGAGAAAAGAAGGCTCAGGGGGGACCTTCTCATTCCCTGACAGAAGAGTGGAGCCAGCTGGGGCTCTGCTCCCAGGGAACAAGGGACAGGACAGAAGCAAACAGCTTGAAGTTGTGCCAGGTTGGATATTGGGGAAAAATCCTTCATGGAAAGGGCTGTCAACTTGGTACAAGTTACCCAGGGCAGTGGTGGAGTCCCCAGCCCTGGAGGGATGTGAGAGCCACGTGGATGTGGCACCTGGGGACATGGGGCAGCGCAGTGCTGGGGGAATGATTGGACTCGATGATCTCTGAGGGCTTTTCCAACCCAAACAATTCTGTGATTCCACTTCAGCTTTTTGCCCTTGGCTGAGTCCCACCACTCTTGTCTCAAAACACATCCCATTCCTGCTGGGGAGCAAGACCAGGGGCTGATGTATTTTCTCCACTCAACAATCAGCTACAGCAGCCAACCATATCCCCATTCCTCAAGCCTTTGTAGCCTCAAGGAGCCTCCATCCCCCTCTGCCCATGGGACCTCTCGCACGCCTGGCTGAGGAGCTCAGACACTGCAGGTGAGACTCAACCAGCAGCAGTGGGACCCAACTCCCTGTTCCAAAGCCCTGGAACACACCTACAGCACAGAGAGATCTAAACCCAATTATTATTTCTGTTCCAGAGACCTGCCCTGATTACCTGGGAAGCCAATTTCAGCGACAAAGACCTAATAACTCATTTTACGATGTGATGTGACAAATATAATTACGAGAGAGAAAGGGGCTGAAGGCTGCAGCCCTGATGTGGCAGTTACCCAAGCTGTCAGCGTGCACCACCTGACTCCCAGAGAGCCAAACCCTGCTGCTGGAGCAGGCTCTCCATCACCCCGGCGCTAACGCACGCTGTCACTAATAACAGCTCCCACAGCCCCAGCATTCCTGCATGCCGGCTTGGGACCATCATTTACAGACAATGAGTATCATCATAATGTATGAGCATCCATGTAATGGGAATTACATGCCCCTTTTCCTCCCCAGGGGTTAGCATTTCTCTGTTTCTCCACTATTCCCCACAGGCACTGACCTTCTGGGTTCCTCTTCTTCCCAGCAAGGTGAAACAGCTCCTGGCAGCATCAGCTGCTAAGACAGACAGCTTCAAACAAATAATCTGCCAATAAAAGTTCAAAGCTATCCTGAAATGTCTAAAAATTTAGTGCAGTGGCTGTACAGAGTGAGGTAATATTGAGCATCTGGAACCCAAATCCATTGTTCTGATAAAGAAGTGTCCTTGACAGTATACATATATTATAGACTGAAAGGTGCTGACTTCAGTGACATGAAAGACATGCAAAGGAAACCAGATTGGTAATTTAGGATTAAAAAAGAGATGTTGAAATGTCTCTGCTCGCTCTGCAGAGCAGGGCTGGAAGGACATTCACAGGACAGCACCAGCTTCCCATGGAGTGTGTCCACACAGAGCCAGCCTGGACAGAGAAACGCTGCTGTCACACTGACCAGCATCAACGAGAAACCAGGCTAAGAATTGTGTTAAATCCATCCTTTGGCTGAAAACATTTGGAACTTGACGTTTCTGTG